AAGTGCCTTCCCATGAGCCTCTGGGAAGCTGTTTTCTCATAATATCCTCCAGGCCAAAGCCCACTCCTCTCGCAGGCTGCACATCTCCAGACAGCCCCTCCAACTCAAGTCATCAGCCTCCTCCCTCCGTCCCAGCCTGACAGGGCCTATGGCATCCCTTCTCTTCTGGGCTCCTGCTGCCCCATCCCCTCCCCACTAGCCCAGCTCAGACCCGGTCCTGAGCACTTCCTATATGCAGGTCCTACACTAAACATTATACACAGGTTACACTCATTTATCCCAACAGGATTAAATCCCAACAAGGGTGTGAGACAGGTATTGCTATTGCCCCCATTTTAGAGATGAAGAAACTGAGGTTCTGAGCACTGAAATCACCTACCCAGGGGCCCATGAACAACAAGGAGCAGGACGAGGATTCACATCCAAATAGCTCGGCTCCAGAATTTGTGTTCAAAAGAGAGTTGGAAGGTGTAAGGTGGGGTCATAAATGTGGAGGGTGGGGGTCAGGTGCCAAGCCAGAACACAAAGTACTCACTCTGGAACATTCCAGGGTGGGCCAGAGCCCCCTGACCAAAACTGGAAAAGTTCAGTGGCCTAGAGAGAAGACAAAGAAGGTGGGGGGGGGGGGTCAGGGGGTCCTCTGTTGGCAACTGCAGGCCCACCCCTCCAGCCCAACCCCCACAATTCCCAGCCTAGGCCACCTGAGGACCGGCAGGACCCAGTTTGGCCTGTAGGGAAGGTGCTGAGATGAGCTGGGCAGAGGACATGGTAGCCATCGTCTGGAAAGCCTTGTCCTTAGAAACCTGGTCCTGGGGGGAAGTTGAAGGTCCATATTAATGGGGGACACCAGTCAACACTACCAGGGGGGGACAATAATGAGGCGGGGCAAGGTGGGAGATACAGACCCAGGGAGTCAAGGCAAAGGGTCCAAGGAGTTAAAGCCCTTTCCCCAGTGCCCTCTATCCCTCCTGGTCTCCTTAGGGATGGGACAGTTGGCTGGGGTAAGTGTATGTGGGAAACGGGCAGGGGCACTTACCACATTCAAGGCCTGCACAAGAAGTGAGGGAAGGTTCCACAGGAGGAAAGAAAACACCACTTAGGAAGGAAGCCTGGACTCCCCCACCTCCCTACCCTACCAGCCTGCCCAGCCCTGGCACCCTGAGCTGAGCAAGGGGGGAGTGATGGATGGATATGGATCAGCATGCAGAGGTGGCCAGCCCTAGAGAGGAAAAGGACTTTCTGCGACCAGAATAAAAGACCCTAATGAGAGTTTCTAAGTCAAAAAAAAGCCGGAAATAGAGGTTTCCAGATGCCCAGGCAACAGGAAATGAGAATTACAGAGCCCCAGGGAATAGAAGGTAAGTGTTTCCTAATCCCAAGCAGAACAGAGAGGGAACAGACACAGTATAGATAAGGCCGGAAGCAAAGGTTTTCGACACAGAGAGAAAGGAAGGGAAAGCTTCCTGGTACAAAAAAGAAAAAATGAACAGGAAGTGATTATCTCCAAGTCTAAATGAAGAGGCAGAGAAGAACTCATACCCAGAGGGACAGAAAATGAGGGCCTCAGACTAAGAAGAAATAGGAAATCCAGAAGACAGGAAAAAAAGAAAAAGAAAATGGATATGAAAATCTCCAACAGGAAATGAAGCTTTCTGAGCACAGAAAGAACAGCAGGCCCCATGGGGGCTGGAGATGTGGGGATGAACCAAAGGAGTCAGAGAGGAGGCCCTCAGAGCACAGGAGGGGAAAAGCAATGAGATCATCAGGAAGGGCCAAGGGCAGAGGGAAGAGGGACAACAGCACTAGCCTCTGGGGAGTCCCCACAGCCCTGCCTTCTTCCCCATCCCAAGCTCAGGCTCCTCCCTTTCTCAGGTCTCTCCCTATCTAGGGTCTCAGTACCCCCAGTCTTCTGGGTCTCCCTCCCCATCCCTCTGGGTCTCGGCCCTTCCCCCAGGTCTCCATCTGCCCCTCAGGGTGTCTGCCTGGGCATTTACCTTCAGTTTGGACTGGATTTCCCTCGATTTCCTTCGAGCCAAAACCTGGATATGACTAGAGACCTGCAGGTATTGACGGAGAAGCAGACTGAGCTCACAACCACCCATCTCTGTCCCCCCCTTCCTTCCCTCAGGTGCCCCACAGAGCTGCCAGCACTTGAAGGGGGACAGGCAGACCGGTCATTTCTGCAGTATTCAAACACGTGGTGCCCACAAGCTGTTTTTCCCAGGAACTCACTAATCTCATCTTTCCTGACCCAGCAAATCCAGGCTCCTGTCCTGTCTTCATCCTTCCCTCTTTGACTTTTTCCTGGTCTCTCTGGCTGCTTCTAACAACTGCTAGGGAAACTGCTGCCAAGCAGACAGACCAGGCCTCCAGACATGCCAAGGACACAAGCAAAAACACATGAACCAGAGCCTCCTTTTGAGCCTGAATTAGCCCATACAAAGATGGCCCTAAAGGGACAAGCTGGCCCCAGACAGAAGCCCAGAAATGGGTTCTGAGACCTGTTTGCGAGTCCGGGTCTTCCCTGTTCTCAGCTTGATGTAGCGGGCAATCAGTTCATTACGACCTGAAGAGTCAAATTAAAACAGAGTTAGACCATTAGGGGAACTTCCCGACAGAGTGAACACCAGGAAAGAAGAGAGTAGCAACAGTCCCCAAAGGGTTATAGCAAGCTGGGGGGCTGGTCTCCTCACTTCTATGGGGCAGACTGCCTGGGAGTACATCCCATCCCTGCCACATACTAGCTCTGACCTTAGGCAAACATCTTGACCTTCCCAGGCCCGCTTCCTCACCTGTGCAAATGGTGATGCTGGTTTCTAACTGAGAGTCACTGGGAGGGCACAATGCATGTTTACAGGGACAATGCTCAGAGCTCCATAAGTGTTGGCTACTGTTATTACTCTGTGGGGGTCAGGTCAAAAGACACTGCGAACTCACCATACATCTTGCCTTCATCAGACAGAATGATTTTCCGACGGCCACATGGCGGGTAGATGGCCAGGGCTTCCTGGAAGCTCTGCTCAATGTCTGGGCTCCAGACACCCTCTGCATCTGGGCCCCCGTCTCCCCCAGCCCCCTCGCTGCCGCCGGTGCCCTCTTCACTGCCTTCCTCACTGCCTGTCCAGCCGCTGCCATCGTCCAGGGGGGCCCCAGCCCGGGGTTCCCCCATTTGGGCCTGGAGGAACACAGAGCTCAGCGGCCTTCCTCCCACCCAAAGAGGCTTGCAGCTGTGAGGGCTAGGAGTCAGACCCCCGAGCCTGAGGGAGGAGAGCTGGGTCCTGAACCCCTCCCTGGGTCTGAGGGAGAAGGGCTGGGGGTAGGACTCCTAGGTCTGAGGGACGGGGACTGGGCCTGGACCCCTGGGTCTGAGGGAGGAGGGCTGAGGCCAGGACTCCTGGATCCTAGAGGAGAAAGGGGATAGATTTCTGGGGTAGCTTAGGAGAGCTGTTCTCCCCTGAGTTTCCAGAGGAACTTAAAGATGAAGTTCGGAATACCCCAGAGTAATGCCAAGGGCCATGAAGGTTGAAACTCTGGGTGCAGATTACTGGTTTTAAAGAGAGGAGCCGTGTTATTGTCGAAATGGAGAGTGGTGAAACCTTCTAGTCCCATCCAAGAACAGGTGCTAGGATGCCAGCGGCAGCTGCTAGAAGAGAAGGGGGAGGGGCATCGGCCCAAGGCAGGCTGTGCATAGACCCAGAGAGAGCGGGCAGAGACCAGAGTGAATGAGACACATCCAGAGAGAAGCGGACTGACATCCAGAGAGAGGAAGAGGAGGAGGAGGTCAGAGAGAGAGGCAGAGAGATCAAATGAGATAGGAACAGAGACTAGGCCGAAACTGATACGGAGGCCAGGAAAGAGCCACAGAACCACAGGCTGGGGGACGGGGAAGCCCACAGAACCACAGGCTGGGAGCCAAGGGCACCCACAGAACCACAGCCTGGGGGACAAGCCGCCTGGCCATCTGGAGTGCCAGAACAAAGGGCCCAGGCGTCCCCTCCCCCAGCTTCCCACAACCCCCGTCGGGGAGGGGCTGGCCAGTGAGGGCACCTCCCCTCCGGCCCTCGGCCCCGCCTCCTCCCCTCCCCCCGCGCCATGGGCTCAGATCCAATCCAAGTTCCCAGTGACTTTCCGGAGGCCGGGAACAGGGAAAACTTTTTCCAATACAGCCCTATCCCGCCTCCTTGGAGGCTCCACGTCTTTCACGACTTTCCCAGGACCCCAGAGTCCCAGGTTCCCATCCCCCTCCTTCTTCGGACCCTGGACCCGGGGCGGAGGCAGACAAAGACCCCAAGCCGAGTCCAGTGGCGCTGCAGCATTCAGGACCCCTGTAGGCCAAAATCCCAGCCCAACCCTCCCCCATGTGGCCAGACAAAGGGACGGAGGAGCAGGGTAAGAAAGATAACCCCTAATTTACCGCTCCAGTCCACAAATCTCCGAAAAGACAAGAAAGAGCATCCAGGACTCCAGATAGTTTTTTTCCTCTACCACCCAGGACCCTTCCTCTTTGGTAAGGGAGATCAGACGCCCATAAATCACACGAGCTCACCAGTTTGGTCAGAAATACGCAAGGGGTCTTTCTCGCTGCAAAGGGACACCGCTCACACTCACGCACCGCACGCCCGGTGCCTGGGTCCGCAGCTCTCAGCCACTCCCGCGCGCACACTCCCAGACCAGACCCGTCATCAACACCCTAACTCCCTCGAAAGTTCCAGCTCCACACTTGGGCTCGGTCACGAACGCAAACTCGGGCCCCCAGGCAAAAAGAGGGCGGCGAGCAGTTGCGAGATGGTCCCACAAACACACGCCTCACCTCATCACGCATAACTTCCCACCCCAACTCACACACCCCAAAGCAGGATCCCGACTCCCGCCGGCGCCTTCCTACCTCCCGGCCTGGGGCTGGGGAGCCGCGGGCGGGCGGGGCGCTGCAAGGGAGAAAGTTGCCGGGAGCTTTGTTTGGGAAAAGTGGGAGGGACCGGAGGGGGGGCGGGCCCGGGAGGCCGACTGCGGGAAGGGGAACTGTCGGTGACAGTTTGGGGAAGGATTTTTGCTCCGGGAGAGACGGAGTCTTTCTGGAAGCTGGGAGGAACTCGGGATTCGGATGATTGGGCCCTCGGAGAGGAGGGAGATTGGGAATTTGTGCTCCTGGGTGAGAGGGGGGCGATTGGTTGGGAGCCGAGAAACCTGTGTCTGAAGAAGGGGGCTGGGGCCGAGACTCCTGGGTCTGAGGGCGGAGGCACCGGGATCTGGACTTGTGGGTGCGATCGCGGAGAGGTCGAGTCCCGGGCCCCCCGGGTTTGTGTCGGAGATGTAGAAGTGATGTGAACACAAAAGAGTCGTACTGTTATCCCCAACTTTATTTTTGAAGACTAGTGTCATGGGATGGATTTTAATTGATTTCTTATGACAACACAGCATCCTTGTGACCTTACCAGAATTAAGAGTCGTGAGCAAGACCCTCGGAATTTATTGGAGGACCACAGAGGCGCCCACTCCCCCATCCCCATGCACTAGTGGACGATGGCAGCTGACCCAGGACCCCGAGAGAGCCTCGGAGGCTAAGGGAAGAGAGGTAAGGTCCCTGACTCCTTAAAGATGAAGGGCTCAGTGTTCTAACTCACAAGACTAGAGGAGGATGGCTCCAGACCTTTGGGTCCTGAAGGAGAAGGGAGTTCGGGTTTAGGGTTCCTTGGAAGATGGAGTATTGGACTGTGTTTCTGAAGAAAACGGGGCTTTTTAAGTGGAACCGGAGAGGGAAAAAGAGAAGGGACACGTAGAAAGGCTCAGAAGTAAATATCGAACTGAAGAGTGAGGGAACTAGAAGAACCACTCGGACTCTGGAGTTTCCAGAGCACAAGGAACTTGAGAATGAAACAGCGCGGGAGCCAGATCTGAGGCGCTGAGGCGGGGCCCAGGTGCGGGGGCGTGGCTCGACGTTTCGGGGCGTGGCCATCTGCGATTGGTGGAGGTCTCGGATGGGCGGGCCGGAATCAGAACACAGGCAGGGCCGAGGTGGACGGATAGGGGCGTGGTCCGATGAAAGAGGCGAGGCCCGGGAATGAGCGCGCAGCTCCAGGCTAAGGGGTGTGGTTAACAAAGAATGTGGGCGTGGCTCTGTCCTCAGGGGCGTGTCCCTGAAGTAAAGACCTGAGCTCTTGGGTGACGTCAGCAGGTGGGGCGTGGTCAGACAATAGAGGGTGGCTACGACTCGAGCGTTGGCTCGAGACCAGAACTGTTTGGATTTTAACAGTCCGTGGCCCGGAGTGGTCCTGGAGTCCGGTGGCCGGCCGGGCTGTGGTCTAGCATAAGGGCGGGGCCCAGAAGAAGGGGCGGGGCGTGGGCAAAGGTGAGGAATGACAACCGTGTATGAAGCAGAACCCAAAAGACTGGGTCTGGAAGGCGGGGTGACTAGGCCGGATGGAAGGGATGGGGGTAGAAGAAAAGGGGAGTAGGGGCTAATCGGCATGGTGTGGGGAATTGCCTAGACAGGGACCGGGCAAGGGGCAGAAAAGAGGTGTCTTGGGCGGGTGATGAGTAGCCACTGCTGGGATGAGGGTTCTAACTCCTTCCCTTGCCATAGCCTCCTCTCCCATCCCGCAATGTGGCATCCGCTGATTCTGCTGCTGCTCCGGTCCGCCCTGGCACCCCTCTCCTCTGCGGCCCCAATCCGCGAAACTGACTCCCAGGAGATATCCTCAGGTTTTCTAGGCCTCCAGAGCCTACTCCAAGGCTTCAGTCAACTTTTCCAGAAAGCAAGTGATGGCAAGGGTTGCTTGGAAGAAGTAGTGAAAGGTTTCAGGAAGACAGTGAGAGGTCAGGGCCGGGCATGAGATCAGACGGGGAAAAGACAAAGAGACGGGGCAACAAAAAATAGAACGAGAGGAAAAGTAACAGTCAAGGAGAATGGAAGATGAGACTGGAAAGAGAAAAAGGAAAGGAGAAAAAGGAAGAGGAAGAGGAGGAGAGGGGACAGGGACAGAGAGACAAATTGACAGGTGAGGGTCAGGAATGGTAAAGCAATTGAACAGAGAGTACAGACCAGACAAATGAAGCTGGTAAATGAAAGATTAGGTTCTAAGGATCAAAGCACCTAGAGGAAAGGTGATGGGAGGGACTGGGAAAGACCTCTAGGGCATCCTGGCAGGGCTGCAAATGCACTGGAGAGATGTGAGGTCCAACAGCTTACTGGTTACCCCTCTGGCATTAGGATGACCTGCTACAGGGTCTGGACAGCTTCTTCTCTGCACCCATGGACTTCCGGGGCCTTCCTAGGAACTTCCACCAAGAAGAGAACCAGGAACGTCACCTAGGGAATAACACCCTCTCTGGTCACCTCCAGATCGATAAGGTGAGTATGCAGGAAAGTCCCTGGCATCTCCCCATCATCCCTCCCCCTGCAGTACCTGTTGGGCGGGGAGGACAGAGGAGGAAAGTGGGTTTGCTTTCACTCTCTTAACTCATCCTCTCACAGGTAACTGACAATAAGACAGGAGAGGTGCTCATCTCCGAGAAGGTAGTGGCATCCATTAAACCCAAGGGGAGCCTGGAAGGTGACTGGAAGGTTAGTACATGTCCTGTCCCTAAAGTGTCAAGTCCCCAACATTTTCTATAGTTTAGGAGGAGGGAGGAGGAGTTGATCCACCTCCTCTCTCTTTGTGGAACTACTTCTTTCTAGGCCTCAGCTTTGTAACCTGCCAACTTAGAAAATGAGATTTACTACCTCAGAATACACCCCCAATTATTTACTAAACTCCAGAGGGTTTTGTGAGCTCCAAGTGTTTTGAAAGTAAGCCAAATAGGATATTGTGGCACACCCCAGACTGAGGCAGGAGGACAGAAAGTTCAAGATCACTCTAGGCAACTTAGTAAGATTCTGTCTCAAAACAAAAAAAAAAATTAAAAAGGGCTGAGGGTGTAGCTCCACAGTTAAGGGCCCTGGCTTCAATCCCCAGTACTGAAAAAAAAGGAAGGGGGGAGACTGCTGTTGTAGTTCAGTGGTAGAGTGCTTACCTACCATGCATAAGACCCTGAGTTCAATTCCTAGCACTGAAAAAAAAAAAAAAAGTAAATCAAGAAGTGCTTTTGATTGCAAGAGCTTGGTAAGCTCACCCTTGTAAACTTCAAAATGTGTAAGTGTTCTGAAATCCTCAGAATATTTTTTAAAATCTCAAAGTTCTTTGTCAACCTCTACCTTATAAACTGTAAGATGTGTTTTTTAATCCAGTTGCTTTATGAACTCCAAATACTTGTTGTACTTCACCTTTATAAACCTCTATGTGTGATTCTAATCCCAAAGTGCTTTGCAGTCATCAGAGTATATTTACCTAAAAGTTTTAAGAATCTCAAAGTGCTTGGTGTATCCATGGGGTTCCCACATTCTTATATAGTTGTTTTAAATTTTTCAAACTATAACAATTATACACTGCAAAAGAGCCAGTAGAGGAATTTTTTTAATATATTTTTTTAGTTGTAGATGGACTCAATATCTTTATTTTATTTATTGATTTTTATGTGGGGCTGAGGATTGAACCCAGTGCCTCATACTTGCTAAGCAAGTACTCTACCACTGAGCCACAACCCCAGTCCTGGGATTTTTTTTTTTTTTTAATTTTTTTTTTAATTGGTTGTTCAAAACATTATAAAGCTCTTGACATATCATATTTCATACATTAGATTCAAGTTGGTTATGAACTCCCAATTTTACCCCAAATACAGATTGCAGAATCACATCAGTTACACATCCACATTTTTACATAATGCCCTTTTAGTAACTGTTGTATTCTGCTACCTTTCCTATCCTCTACCATCCCCCCTCCCTCCCCCCAGTCCTGGGATTTTTAAATGTCCCCAAACACAAAGAAATGATCAATGTTTTGAGGTGATAGATATACCAATAACAAGAAAAAAGTATAAACCTACAAAAAATTTTTTTGTTGTTGTTGTTTTTTAAATAATATAGTCATTGTATTCCCTTTTCCATAGGCCAAAGTTTCTCAATCTCAGAGCCATTAGCATTTGGGGCAGGACAGTCCTTTACTGGGGGCGGGGGCTGACCTGGACACTGTAGGATTTTTTTTTTTTGTGTGTGTGTGTGTGGTGGGGTGCTGGGAATTGAACCCAGAACCCAGAACCTTGTGCTTGCACAAGTTGTAGCTCTACCAACTGAGCTATATCCCTAGCCTGGCACTATAGGATGTTTGACAGCATCCTGGCCTCCCATTGGAAGAAAGTAGCACTCCCATCCCCTCCAATTGTGAGAACAAATGTTTCCTGATTTGGATTGAGAATACCTGGAGTAGATTCATAACTTGTTAGCATTTTGTTGACATCTGGATACTTCACCTCTAAATACATCAACAGAATCTACTAAGAAGAATATATTCTCCCTCAAGACCTAAGTACACACCTCAAATTTAATGGTGTTATCACTCTGTCTCTCTTTTCTTTCTTTCTTTTTTTTTTGGTGATAGGGATTGAACTCAAGGGCACTCGACAACTGAGCCACATCCCTAGCCCTATTTTGTATTTTTTTTAGAGACAAGTTCTCACTGAGTTGCTTAGTACCTCGCCATTGCTGAGGCTGGCTTTGAACTCCCAATCCTACTGCCTCAGCCTCCTGAGCCACTGGGATTACAGGCATGTACCACTGTGCCCAACTCCCAAACTGTTATCTCTTTGCTAGAACTGCCATAGCAAAGTGTACTACAAACTAGGTAGCTTAAACCGCAGAAATTTCTTGTCTCAAAGTTCTGGAGGTTGGGTATTCAAGATCAACGTGTCAACAGAGATGGCTCCTCCTGAGGGCTGAGTGAAGAAATCTGTTCCATGCTTCAACATGGCTTCGGTGTTTCACTAGAAGTCTTTGGTGTTCCTTGGCTTATATATGCCTTGCCCCCCAATCTCTGTCTTCTCTTTGCCTGGCATCCTCCCATTGTGTCTTTCTATGACCAGATTTCCTCTTTTCAAGGAGTCATCATCCTAAGACCTCATCCTAATTAAATCTGCAATGACCCTTTTCACAAATAAGGTCACATTCTGAGGTATTGAAGGGTAGGATTTCAAAATATGATTTGGGAAGCTGGGCACAGTGGTGTGCGCCTATCATCCCAGCAGCTGGGGAGACTGAGACAGGAGGCTTATAAGTTCAAGGTCAGCCTTAGCAACTTAAAGAGGCTCCCAAGCTACTTAGTGAGTCCCTGTCTCAAAATAAAAGATTAAAAAAGGATTGGGGAGGTAGTTCAGTAGCAAATTGCCTCTGGGTTAAATGCCCAGTATCTCCCCCCATCCCCTGCCAAAAAAATATGTTTAGATAGATAAAAAGATATATACATATGTATATGTGTGTGAATTTGGTGAGAATAGACACCTCCTACAGAGCTTCTCAGACCTAAGTTTGTTACAGATGCAGACGCTACACTGCTTGGGCAGGTCCAGATGGGGTGGAACTCACTAGTTTACGTGCCTCACAACAGCAGCCCACACATTGAGTAGCAAAGACCAATAAACAAATCAGCCCATATTCCCATTTGCCACTTGACTTAAAGCTGCCCTTGAAATCTGGTTTCATTTTTGATCCAGGATTCAATCAAGGATGACACGTTGCATTTATGGCCATGCTTGTTTAGTAAGCCCAAAAGCTTTTAATCCCAAAGTGCTTTGTCCATTTCAAACTGCCTTCAAAACCTCTGAAAGTGCTTTGTAATCCCAAAAGGCATTATAAACTCCAAAGCACTCTGTTATACATCCCTTTTGAAACCCCTCAAAAATATATTTTCAGTCCCAAAATGTTCTATAAACCTGAGTATTTTTAATCCCCAAGTGTTTGCAAACCCAAGTGCGCAATAAACCTCAAAGAAGCTTTTCAAAGTCCAAAGCACCCTATCAGCTGCATAGGGGGTGGACAATCCCATGGGGATTGATTGCCCTGGGTGTGCTATTTGGTTTCCTTGTTCTTCCTCCCCAGGTACCCAAGATGGAAGAGAAGGAAGCCCTGGTTCCCCTCCAGAAATTCATGGACAGCTTTCACCCAGAACCGCATCCCCGAGTATCCTTCTGTAACATGAAGCTGCCACGGAGGAGGTCCCACCAGGATGCCCAGGAGGGTCACTGGCTCAGTGAGAAGCGGCATCGCCTGCAGGCCATCCGGGACGGGCTCCGAGAAGGAAGCCATGAGGAAGTCCTGGAAGATGGGACCCAGGGCTCCTCCTACTCTAAGCTGCCTGCCCGCAAAACCCACTTCCTGTACATCCTCAGGCCCCCCCAGCAACTATAAGAGTGGGGACCGGAAACCCACACCAAATGGAAATAAAATTCTTCTTACGTCAAGCAGCACTATTTCCTTTGGGGATCTGTCCCCAAGCCCTGGCCAACCAGACCACAATAGTTGCCCCCAGTCTGAGCCTGAGCACCGTGTCCAGCTGTTGTAGCTCTCACCTAAGCCTCCAGTTTGGGTTTTCTCATTCATATTCTGTCTCCGGGTTGAGCAACTCCATCCCCTGTGGCCCCATTTATCCACTCAGTCCCCTGGCCTGTTACCTCCAGCCTGCTCTGTCCTCCCAGCCCCTAACTCTCACTCCAGTTCTCTCTGTCCACTTAGTCCCTGAATTAGTTTCCTCTAGATGCCATAACAAATGACCACCAACTCAATGACCCAAAGCCACACAAATGTTCTATTCATAGATCAATAGGTAGGAAATCCAGGATGGCTCAGCTAGCCCTCTGTCTTGAGTTTCAAAATCAAGGCATCAGCTGGCTGGGCCCTTGTAATGGGGCTCCGAGAAGAAGGTGCTTCCCACTCAGGTTTTTGGCAGAATTTAGTTCAAGTCATGAGTGAGCTATGCCATTAATATAGACCAAACCTATATTGTCTTTCCACAACATCAGAATTTATGAAATAATAAGTTAACAGGGGCTGGGGTTGTAGCTCAGTGATAGAGCTCTTGCCTCACATGTGTGGAGCACTGGGTTCCATCTTCAGTACCACATAAAAAATAAAGGTATCCATCTAAACTAAAAAATATTTTTTTAAAAAAGAGTAAATTAACAGGCTACATCAACTTTAATTCACAAAAAATACTCATGATTCCCTTGGTGTCATGGCCAAGGCAATTATGCATTCTTTTATTCAATTCCAAGCTTAATTTCTAATATCAGTAACACTCAGGTCACACATCATACTTCACACAATGGTGTGGGTCACAGAAAGACTAAAGAAGGATTAAGGCAACCACAGGGTTACAGGATGCTGTGCCCAGAGCAGAGACTTTCCCTAGATATGAATGGAAAGAGTCATCTTAGGTGGTCAGACAAGGTTTTTTTTTAAATTTATTCTAATCAGTTATACGTGATAGCAGAATGCTCTTTGATTCATTGTACATAAATAGAGCAGAATTCTTCACTTCTCTGGTTGTCCCAAAGTAGGGTCACACCATTCATGCAATCATACATGTACCTAGGTTAATGATGACTGTCTCATTCCACCATCTTTCCTATCCCCATGCCCCCACCCCCCTTTCCCTTTGCCCCAAACAAAGTTCTCCATTCATCCCATGCCACCCCCATTATGGATTAGCATCAGAGAAAACATTCAGCCTTTGTTTTTTTTTTTGTTTGTTTGTTTGTTTGTTTGAGATTGGCTTACTTCACTGAGCATGATATTCTCTAACTCCATCCATTTACCTGCAAATACCATAATTTTATTCTCTTTTATTGCTGAATGATACTCCATTGTGTATATATACCACAGTTTCTTTTTTAAATATTTTTTAGTTTTAGGTGGACACAGTACATTTTTTTAATATTTATTTTTTAGTTCTAGGTGGACACAATATCTTTATTTTGTTTTTATGTGGTGCTGAGGATAGAACCCAGTACCTCAAGCATGGTAGGCGAGCACTATACCATTGAGCCACAACCCCAGCCCCACAGTTTCTTTATCCATTCATCTATTGAAGGGCATCTAGGTTGGTTCCACAGTTTAGCTATTGTGAATTGTGCTGTTATGAACATTGATGTGGCTTCATTACTGTAGTATGTTGTTTTTAAGTCCTTTGGGTATAGACCAAAGAGTGGGATAGCTGGGTCAAATGGTGATTCCATTCCAAGTTTTCTAAGATTGACAGCACCAATTTGCAGTCCCACCAGCATTGTATGAGTGTGCCTTTTTCCCCACATCCTTGCCAACACTTATTGTTGTTCGTATTCTTGATAACTGCCATTCTGACTGGAGATGAAATCTTAGAGTAGTTTTGATTTGCATTTCTCTAATTACTAGAGATATTGAATATTTTTTCATATATTGAGTTGATCAATTATATATCTTCTTCTGTGAAGTGTCTGTTTAGCTCCTTAGCCCATTTATTGATTGGGTTGGTTTTTTTTTTTTTTTTTTTTTTTTTTTTTGGTGTTAAGTTTTTTGAGTTCTTATATATATCCTAGAGATTAGTGATCAATCTGATGTGCATGTGGCAAAAATTTGCTCCCAAAATGTAGGCTCTCTGTTCACCTCATTGATTGTTTCTTTTGCTGAGAAGAAGCTTCTTAGTTTAAATCCATCCCATTTATTGATTCTTGATTTTATTTCTTGTCCTTTAGAGGTCTTGGTAAGGAAGTTGGGGCTTAATCCAACATGATGAAGATTTGGGCCTACTTTTTTTTCTATTAGGCATAAGGTCTCTGGTCTAATCCCTAGGTCCTTGATCCATTTTGAGTTGAGTTTTATGCATGGTGAAAGATAGGAGTTTAGGAGCTGGGGTTGTGGCTCAGTGGTAGAGCACTTGCCTGGCATGTGTGAGGCACTGGGTTCGATTCTCAGCACCACATATAAATAAGTGAACAAAATAAAGGCCCACCCAACATCTAAAAAAATTTTTTTTAATTTATTTAAAAAGATAGGGATTTAGTTTCATTTGGCTACACATGGCTTTCCAGTTTTCCCAGCACCATTTGTTGAAGAGGCTATTTGTTCTCCAATGTGTGTTTTTGGCACCTTTGTCCAAGATGAGATAATTGTGTTTATGTGGGTTTGACTCTGTCTTCTATTCTGTACCACTGGCTTACATGTCTATTTTGGTGCCAATACCATGCCATTTTTGTTACTAGAGCTTTGTAGTATAGTTTAAGGCCTGGTATTGTGATGCCCCCTCCTTCACTCTTCTTGTTAAGGATTACTTTGGCTATTTGGGGGTCTCTTTTTTTTTCCAAATGACTTTCATGATTGCTTTTTCTATATCTATAAGGAATGACATACAAGGGTTTTAACCAAACAATTCAGCAGAGATGAAAAGGAAAGAATTCAACTGGATGGCAGTTACTACAATGTCAGCCTAAAGTGTTAGCTTGAAGTGAGGAGTCATGCATTACTGTCACCAGTAGCATAAACCTCTCTTGAGCTGAAACCCAGGGTCAGAGAGCTAGAGGTTCATCCATGTTGCAATTTTCCTGTACAAGATTAAAGACAAGTAAACTGGTGACAGGGTCAGGGTGCCACTGTGTCTATTCTTGGGATACACTTTATTTTATGGATCTTAAATGAGATGGTTACATTTGATTAGGTTGACAAGCTATTGTCTGTTGTTTTTTTTTTTTACATGTGCTCATGATTTAATTTGGTAAGTTGACACAAGTTATCAAGTATTGTTTGTTTACTTGCATAAATAAGATGTAGAGTCATGCTTCCTTGGCACCTGTGGAGTTACTCAAAGTGGAGTAACTCATGGCACATTACTGCTTTATAAAATGGAGTAACTCTGTGTTAAGCACAGCCTGAAAACTGTTGTTTTTTTTTTTCTTTGTTGTTGTTATTGTTTGTACCAAGGATTAAACCCAAGACTGCTTAACCACTCAGCCACATCCTCAGCCCTTTTTTTTTATTTTTATTTAGAGACAGGATCTCACTGAGTTGCTTAGGGCTTCACTAAGTTGTTGAGGCTGGTCTTGAACTCGTGATCCTCCTGCACTGCTGGGATTACAGCTGTGTGCCACCAAGCTCAGCCTGAAAACTACTGTTTGATAGACCATGGAATAACTCTCCACACTTGGGCTTCTGGGACTGAGACCTGTGTGTGTCTTCACTGGTAGCTGGGTGTCACCTAACTGAGAAGAAGCCTTTCTCCAGTTCTGTCAGGTTTACCAACATCTCAGACCTGGCAATCCAATCTCATACTTGGAATCCCTCTCCCTTCCCCTCCTACCCTGTCTCTAGTATGCCTTCTTTTCCTCTTCCAGCAAGAGACAGTTCTATGTTTTCAGGGCTTTTGGAATTGGACCTGGACAGCATATTCCCAGGCTTTCAGGATTTAAAGGGCAGTCACCTTTGGAGGACCATTATTCTGCCTACCTCAGGTACTGACTGTGTTATCGTTCATCTCTTTCTTCTCATTCCCTGACTTTCATTTTACATACCAACTCCATCTGTGGCTTCTTGTTTCTCTCTGTATCCCTGTCTGTTTGGATATGATTTGTCCCCCAAGAGTTCACACTGGTTCCCAATGCGGCTGCATAAAGTGTCACCAGCTGGCTGGGCTGGCAAGTAAAAAACCACACAAACACAGAAAGAAATACCTTTCTGGGGGGTCAGGATGGCCATGAGACCTCTGCTCCCACGCTGGAGGGCAAGGGGAGCTAGGGAGGCAAGAGGCAAGAGAGCAAGCACAAACTGAAACTCCCTTCTTTATGGGAAAAAGCCATTTGGTAGAAAGTTCCTCCCAAATAAGGCGAGGGATTGGGTTTTGACAGGTGAAGTCTTGCTTGGTGACGTCTTGTGGTCAGCAGATTGATTGACATCTTAGAAAGCCACACCCATCTCAAGTGCTGTGTGGGATCACAGGCAGAGCAAGAGAAAAAGCACACATATGTCACACAGCCCATTCAGGCAGTAATGTCAGGCCAGTCCACTCATATGCTCAAATGTGCATAGCTCACACACACAGCCCACGGATGGCTCGCGACAACAAAGAGGTGGTGGGCCTTTGAGAGATGGGACCTAATGGAAGATGATCAGGTCATTTGGGCCACTGCCCTTGAAAGATATTTAGTAGTTCACATGGACCCTCTTAGTTCTGCAAGACTGGGCTGTTGTTGAAAGAGTGAGGCTGGCCTCTCTCTACTCCCTGGCTTCCTGTCTCACCATGTGATGTTGCCCTCTTTAAACACATGCTGACCATGATGTGCTGTAGTGAAAAGGGCCCTTACCAGAACCATAGCCATGCAATTTGGACTTTTAGCCTCCAAAACTATGAGTTAAACAAAAATTTCTTTATTACATACCCATACTTGGGTATATCTTTACTAAATACCCATGGGTATTTTGTTGGAGCCATGGAAAA